TCAAGCTACAGTTTCAGAGTAGCTTCCCCAACACTGGTATTCAAGTCTGTTTCCACCTGCAATTCCTAAAAAAACAGAATGCATACCTGAAGACTTTTGTGCTACTGTTCATTGTGACCTTGTAAACATTTCCTTGATTATAAATACAATTCATAAACTACCTGAATGTTTTAGAATAAATGTTTATACATTTTATAAATAAGAACAATATTTCAAACTGTTCCAAACTAACATTAAACAAAAAAGATGTACTCCTGTCAGAAGAAGTGCTGTCTTCTTTTTTCACCTTTAACAATACTACTTTGTAAAATAAACATATCCTAGTTAACAGAATAAAAGTGATATAAATACAAACTGGTCAATAAGATTCATTTAATAAGCTGCAGTGTACACACAGATATTTTCACCTCTGAACAGCTTACTCAACTTAAAACTTAAGTTAAAACTTGTAATAGAGAATAATAGTGTGATGTATAAAGTCTGCACAGACATTGCAAATGACTGTCTGAGACCAATGGAAATGTCACTTGTTTCATCAAAATTAGTTCTGTTTTAATCGCTCTGAGCAAAGAAACAGATCTAACATGTCACACTTGAAAACTAAAAATAAAGTGTTGGGATATTGGGTCATGACACAAGCAAATATGCAATTAAAAGACAAAAAAATTTTTATGTACAATTTGTGAAGTTTTGTGCAGTTTATGTATGATTACTCTTCTAAGCATAATCAACTAACTGCAGTTCAAACATGATATTCTCTTAATAATGACATCAAAACTGATGATTTGAGTGATACAGAACTGTTTAAGTGATACTAGAACAGATTTGTGTAATAACTTGTAATAACTCTTCCTGTGCCAACAGCCCTAAAATGTATCTCTTCAAATTTCTATCAATTTTTCATTCAAAAATTATAAGCGAAATCATATTGTATTCTTACTTTAACATGCCTTGTAAAATGTCTCTTCAAATTTCAAACAATTTTTAATTGAAAAATTTTAGGTGAATCATATTATATTCTTACTTTAAGAAGTATTGTAAAAATGTTCAGTTAATGCCAAAATCATCTTTTTTTTTTTTTTTTGCTGTAAAAGTATATTGACATTTTTGCTTGACCTAAAAAAAACTAAGCAAGTGTCTCTGGTTCTTTTTTTAGACTCTTTTTTTAGACAGTAAATATTTGAATACATGAACATAGGCAGCAAAAACACTTCTAGTATTTCAGTGAAAAATGATTTCTCTGTGATTACAAAAAAGGACAGCTGTCTTGTACTGAAAGAGAAACAGCATTGACTGCAATCATGTAATATACTATACAACAACCCCTACAAATTAGAAATAATTTTTTTTTTCTTGGTCCAAAAGAATTTAAACCAAAGTTTTTACTGATTAAGACCTCTGTATAACAGGTTTGAATATAGGTGTGGTCTGTCCCAACACCTCCTTCCTCCAGCCTTTGATTTTATAATCAGCACATAAAAACAACAGGTGGCAGACTTTCTTTCACTATCTGATTCTGATAACTCAAGTTTGAGGGGGTCTGGTCTAAAGGTCTAAAGGAAGTCAAAAGGTTGTAGATATTTATTTATTTTAGGTTTGTTTTAACAGGGACTTCATACATTTCAAAAGCAGTTACAAATTTAGTCATACAATGCACAGCATAAATGAGTACACCCCCTCTGAGGCCTACAAAATATGTATTTTCTTAATGAACACTAATACAATTTATGGAAAGATGGCTAAATTTAAATGTATTAAACATAGGCTTAATAAAAACAGAGAAATATGTCATTAATATCTGTAAATCAGTCAATTTTGTTAAAATGAAGGATTGCAGAAATGGGTACACCCTGTATTTAATTCAACAGATGTATAATATTCTAGTACTTAGTATGTCCTCTGTAATTTTATGTATACTTCTCTGACCCTTCCTGGCACTGAGTGTACAAACTGTCAAATCTGTCTTGTGTAACTCATGAAGGATGACCTCCTTAAATGCCCTGATCTTAATGGGGAGTGTTGCTCAGTTCTTCTCTACAGAATCCCCCAGAGGTTCTCAAGTGTTAAGTCTGGGTGAAATACATTGTCCACTGAAGGATTTTTATCTTGGGAGAATGTATATCATCATTGTCATGTTAAAAAAATGGCCAACAATGCAGGGAACAAAGAGAGGACAGCATCTTCTGTTTCAGGTTTTTGTATTACATCACACAGTGGGGTGTGAAATCATGACAGCACTGATAAAGCGCAACTCCCTCACACCTTCAGCACGCATCCATAAGAGCTTTACTACCATTGAACTTTACTGTGGGAACCAGACACTATACGTCTCCTCTAGCAACACCATCATTTTGGATGCTTTTAGATCTGAAATGATCTAAATGAGACTTCGTCTCATGAGACCAGAATATGAATTCCCAGAAGTCTATATTTTGTACAAAAAAAAAAAAAAGGAGCCTTGGAAAAGGTTAAATGAGTTTGTTGTGCTACAGTAGGTAGTTCCAGTGTACAACAATCCTGCATGTCACTTTTGCAGGCTGCATCTTACCCTGTGAGATAAACAGTCACCCATAGCTTTCGCCAGCTCTGAGACACTTGGTATTTCTCCAGGCTCTTTTTCTAGCAAAAATCTCTCATCACTAAATGAAAGCTTAGGGTGAAGGTCTGATTATTTCAAGGGCCTTTTCACAAGTTCATTGTTTTTGAATTTCTGTGTTACTTTTGCTATATTTTGACACTTAAAATCATTTGGTATTCTTCTTGTACCATTGTCCTGTTTAGTCAGTTCTCTTCCAAGTGGTTCCATTGTTGTCAGCATCAAGTCTGAATGTTTCAGTGGGCTATATAACACTTTTAATTGTCAAGAAATTACTTTTCTTTAAAAGTTTTGGTTCAACACACTTATCTGTTGATCAAAAATGCCTTAAACTTACACCAGACTTATTTATTTATTTATATTATTATTATTATTATGTTGTTGTTGTTTTTTTTTGTTTTATTTTGGATGACTTTCAGGATGGTGCACCAAAGACTTTAGAAGTACCTTAAAGGGACTTTGTTTTGCAACACAAAATTTTATCACTTTGATAAGAAAATTTTATTTTTCTGAATAATTTTGGCATGCTTCTTTGGTAATGTCAGGATTGGACTGTCTTTGTTGTGTTTTGCTCCCCACGTTTTCCCCATGACCCAGTTTTTCCCTAATGTGCCCTTATTTGGTCGTTCCTGTTCCTGTCCTCGTTGTCTCTTAATTAGTCATTCATTTCACCTGTGATCCTCACAATTGCCTCGTTTAGTCGTGTATTTAGTTCCAGTCTGTGCGTTCCTTCTTTGTCGGGTCTACATATTGTGAATGTGTGTCATCTTCCCTTCCTGGTGTGGATTTACCCCTGTTTGCTATTCTACGTCTCCATCGTTCCTTTTGACAGCGTTACGTGACAGAAGACCCGACCAAAACAGTCTGACTGCGTGTTTTCCCCTCCGTTTGTTTACCGTTTTCCATTCAGTGTTTTTTGTTTCCGTAGTGTTTCCTTCCTCATGGATTCCCTCCCTGTCAAGTTTACCTCCCTCGCCCACAAGGACCTTTCCCTCTTGGAGTATGCTGTGGCATTCAGCCAGCTCGCCGTTTTAACGGCGTTCGACGACGCTGCGCTGAACTCTCGGTTCTGGATCGGGGGCAACTACTACCGCCCCGTCGACCTCCCAGACACCACCGGACTGTGCTGGAGGGAGGCTATCATCCGGTGTCTGGAGAGCGTCTACCCCCGATCCAGAACACAGCCAGACGCAGAGCCTAGCCCACCATCACCCCGCTGCGCGGAGCTTAAGACTGGGCCCACCGCTGACGGAGAGCCAGAGCCCGCCACGACCGACGAGCCATCGCCAGTGAGAGCGACAGTGCTGAGGATCACCCCGGAGCCCGAGCCTGTGATGTCAGACCAGGTGCGAGTGCTGGCTACAGAGCTCGCCACGGGAGAGCGTCATGGACAGTGAGAGCGCGGAGAGGAGCTCTGCCCCCTGCACCGTGGCTGAGGGTGAGCTGTCTAAGGATCTGGGTAAAGGAAAAGTGGAAAGAGACTTAAAGGGGTCATATGATGCTGCTAAAAATAACGTTATTTGGTGTATTTGGTGTGATGAAATGTGTTTATGCGGTTTAAGGTTAAAAAAACACAATCTTTTTCCACATACTGTACATTATTGTGTCTCCTCTATGCCCCGCCTTTCTGAAACGCGTCGATTTTTACAAAGCTCATCGGTCTGAAAAGCGAGGTG